TAATGAGCATTTCATTATAAAATACTAAATATAATATTATACTATATTATACTATAATATTATAAACTATATGTATAATACACAGGGTTATCTGTAGTATAATATTATTACTGGTGGTAGGACCTCTTGTGAGTCCGCACGGGTAGGTACCACCATCATCCTAATTTCTGCCGTGAAGTAGTAATGCGCTTCGGTTTGAAGGGCGGAGCAGCCGTGGTTACTATACTGAGAACTTAGAACTCATATCTCATGACCCATCTTGAGATATGAGTTCTAAGTGGCGACATTTACGTTGTACATGTCTGGGCTCCGGTAATCACTTAACACCAGGTGGGCCATGAACGCGTCCACCCATCTGTGCCAAAAAAAAATAAAAAATATATATCTATATGGGTGTTATTATATATATAATACACTGTTCTCCCAAAGATCTCAATTCGACCATATTCACTAACGCCTTAAGATTTATTTTTCCTTTTGATTTGTCATTGAGATTTTGATCAATAATTTTCTTCAGTTCAATTTTTTTTCTATTAATAAAAAGTTCTTTAATATGTAACCAAATAAATAAAATCGATTAGTAAACGGAAGAGAAAATATTATTAGTGTAAATGTAACAGTAACAACGCGTATTCCTGGACAGATCCCTTAACATCAGGATGCATTATATCGGAACTACAGTATCGGACTGTGTAAACACGCACTCCTATTAAAATCAAGGGAACTTCCATTTTCCTTTATTAAAATAGCACCAGAATATTTTCGGAGAAGGAAAGCCTAAAACTGGCAACATCAATCCACCACGGCTCCTACATAAAACAGACTTTTCCAGCGAGGATTTTTCCGAGAACTATTCCGGAATCACAGCAAACATTGTGGAAATTGACTATGCCTTTATTATCTATACTAATTCTATAGTAATATTATAAAGAGGAAAGATTTGTTTGTTTGTTTGTATTGAATAGGCTCCGAAAGTACTGAACTGATTTAAAAAAATATTTCACTGTTTGAAAGCTACACAATTCTCGAGTGACATAGGCTGAAAATTATTAATGGAAAAAATTAGGGATCCTTACTAAAACTCCAATAATGTAACCCAAGGTGTAAAAAAATTACCTAAAATATTCTTTACATCGTGTGCCCTGCGAAAACTTTTCATGATAGAATAAAATAATGTACTACGACTTTGTAGAACAAATTATTAATTACAAAAAGTGTCGTGACAGCATATGTCTAACTATTATAGTTATGCCGCAATAAGTGTTATTTTATTTTTTTAAATAAAACAGTGTCAAATATCGTTGAAATTTTTGTTAAAGACCCGAGCAGAGCCGGAGCGGGCCGCTAGTCTGATATATTTCTTTCACCCCCAATTTTCTATGCAAATTTATTTCGTAGAAACACATCAAAAGGAATAAGATATGGCTTTATACATGTGTAAGCCGCGAGGTTATTGACAAATTGCTTTTACAGGCGGTTTTGAGATTGTTCGATTTCATTATTTGTTAAAGTCTGGGAGACAATGTCCGTTAGGTCAATTTACATGTAATTATTACATTACATTAAAATAATTCTATAGTTTAGCCTCGCGTTTATTAACAATACTTTTTGAATTATTTTCATATATTTTTTCTAGGACGACTGGGACCTTCAAAAATTCACTGTGACTAGAGAAGCCAAGGGTAAAGAACAATTTGTAGAAATCTACGTAATGAAGATAACTTGTAAGAGGTTGTACGTTGTCCGTGTAATGTAACCGTTATACATGAGACGGTTGTAGCCCCAGGCGATTGGGGCAACGCAAAACCATCATCGCCCGAAACATGTCTTGTCGAATCCCCCGGATCCAATCTCGGTGACTTTAGGATTTTGAAGCACGGGTCACCGTCCTCGTCAAAATCGTCGATTACAACGAAGTGCTCGACGTGTGAACTAGCCCATAGACCAATGTTTCCCAGCCTTTTTGCGCCATGCCCCACTGTATCATTTCTAAAAATTTTTATGTCCCCATACATAATTTTTTAACATAAAAAAATTGATTTGTTCACTTAAGAAACATAAATGATAGGTTTTAGGAAAACATCACTATGAAATTGTTATCAAAATACAGTAAGTAATATTTCAAAACATAATATAATAAAAAATATTTAATACAGATTTTCTCTATTAATGTAGTACGATTGCCTCCCTTAATTATCAAATTGCCCCCTTGTGGGACATGGGCCCCACGTTGGGAAACGCCGCCTTAGACAAACTGAGTTTCTCGCCGGATCTTCTCAGTGGGTCGCGATTCCGACCCAATGATAAATTCAGCTAAGCACTGCTCTTGCTAGGGCCAGTGCTACTAATTCTCTCAGGTTGAGCCCATGAGAGTCAGTACGTACCTACAGTTGTAATAGCCCCTTTGCCTACTAACGATTAGATAGGAGAAAAAGAGGTTGGTAAGTACATTACATCGGAAGAAATACATTTGAAGCAATCAAAGAAATGTCACCAATTTAAGTGTAAATATATTGGTTGTGGTCATTCTATTTACTATGGTTGATCGATATATATAAATTTAAAGTGTTATAAATAAAATATATTTTATACTATATTGTAATTTTTACTTATATGTAAGTAAAATAATAAAAAATAAAGATTAAAATGTTTCTACAATTAAATACTATATCGTAAAATGCAAACTATTTTTATTATTACGATTCCTAATGTTTAATTTGAGATACCAATGAAATCCTAAAAGTTTGCCAATTAAAACGACTTTCGAATGTCCACAAAAACCTTTGGGAGCTTTGAAATAGTTGAATTGCTGTTCGCGCGAAGTTGTTCTGTTAATTTCATTTCGAATTACAAAACGTATGAGTTCGCACTGAACATCACAACTATTATTTCTTTAAGAATTTTTTTAAATGACGTAATTGTTGATTGAATTGAATGAAGTTGCTCGGGGACGGATTTGTTTGTTCTCTTGGCGGTCCACGGTATGCGGACGCGGTACGGAGCATTCTTATAATTCTATTTACAAATATGTTTTTCGCTTCATGATTAAAATCAAAATCACCGTGTCAAGTCATATCAAGATAACCAATCTTGGCGCGGTAAACAATTGCGTAAACTTGATTTATGTCGTTCAAATAAAATAGAAATCTAAGATAAGTAAATCAATGTAGCATGGTTGATTGTTAAAATTACTTTTATATTATGATCATTGAATAGTAATGTTATATGCACAATACATATTATTATATGCGTTGTATGCAAACGTTTCAAATATTAACCGCAATGGAAAGGTTGAAATATACGGCACGTAAAAGTAATTCAAATGTTTCTAAATATGTTTGTACCTTGTTTTAATTTCCTGTAACATTAATTGAATTGATGTATATATAATTATCATGGCAGAATACCACCATCCAGCCCTTTTCTGCTTCGAAGCAGTAAAAGTAACGCTTGAAGGTATGGCAGTCTCTCTCTCTCTCTCTCTCTCCCCCTCTCTTTCTCCTCCTCTCTTTTCCCCCTCTCTTTCTCCCCCTCTCTTTCTCCCCCCCTCTCTCTCCCCCTCTCTCACTCCCTCTCTCTCTCTTTCTCTTTCCTGTTGTAACTATTATAAATCAAGTGGGCCGTGAGCACGTTCACAGTTCTATGCAATAAAAAGAGTACCGAATAGCGCGAAAGATAAGTAAAAATTGTAAATTTGTTTCTTCATATTTTAAAAGCACTATTGGCCCAACGGCATTCATCATGCAACTTGTTAAAAGCACTATTGATCCAACAGCATTCATCATGCCACTTGTCTGCGAGGTCACGGGTTCCAATCTCGCTGAGTTTCTCTCAGCTTCTCAGCGGCCAGCGGCTTGCGGTTCTGATCCGGTAGTGGCTGCATTCGCGTAGCAGCACCCTTTAGCTCCTGGGCCTCTTCTGGGGGCGCTCGGACAAGAACCCTTCATTGTTGGCGGAGCCCTCAAGCTTGCTGAACTGCCTCAACTAAGCACCAATGTCCCTAAACTACCTACGATGCTTCCATCCCAATTAAGAAACTGTATATTCAGAGCTGGCGACCCGATTAGCACGGACCCTATCCCTTTTCTCATCTGTGAGCACATTAATTTCATTAACGTGTCATCTGGATTCAACCGAGGTCGTCAAAGGCGTCGGGTTCTTGTAATTGCGACTGGAACATTGAAAAGAATCGTAATTGATTTACAAATGAGATGTGATTCAAATGAATCTTTTGACAAGAGTTGAGTCAGAATAAATCAAGCCCGATAGTGACGTCAATCCATTCAAAAGAACTCCATCATGGAAAATGCATAAAGATTAGATACCTTATTTTTCTAATAGCCAAAAAATATCAATGGGTGTTTCCTTAAGCACCTTGACTTACTTCTAAGTTTTTATTTTATTGCTAAGATGGGTGGACGAGCTCACAGACCACCTGGCGTTAACTGGTTACAGGAGCCCATAGATATCTACAACGTACATGCGCCACCCACCTTGAAATATGAATTCTAAGGTCTCAAGTATAGTTACAACGGCTGCCCCACCCTTCAAACTGAACCGCATTACTGCTTCACGGCAGAAATAGGCAGGGTGGTTGTACCTACCCGTGGGAGCTCACAAGAGATCCTACCGCCATTAATTACGCAAATTATAATTTTACGGATTTGATTAGAAGTCTAGTGATTACAAAAATTGGTACCCGCCTGCAGGATTCGAACACCGGTACATCGCTACACACGAATGCACCGGACATCTTATCTTTTAGGCCACGAGATACAGACTACGATCGGGAATTGAACCTGGACTCAGAGGAACAATAGTCTGGATGAATAGATAGAACAATGAGACAGATTAGTAATAAGGAAGAAGACCACATCTATATCTAGACGCCTAAAGTGAGAGTTTTCACCGCGTCCTTGACCGGTAGCCATAATCAATATAACCATATTACATAGGAATCAGGTTTTGAAATAAGGTCTACTGATAAGACCTTGTCAGATCACAGTACTCGCAAACGTAGTGTGACTCAGTCGGATCTGAAGAGTCGGATTATAGTGACTTGTTTTTATTAAATGTAAAACTTTATTGATCGTGAATTTTGTGCAGGTTCGTAAATTATTTAATTTACATTTTAAAAAAATGCTTATGGTATAGGCACATTACTGTTGAACTTATTCACGAATGTTTTTTGTGTTGATATTATTTTATTCGGAGTTTTTTATTGGATATTTTTCTTTGTAAAATACAATCCGCACACTATTGATAGTAATCATTTATCTTATTCAAAATAAATAATTTTAATACTTGACTTACGGGTGTTTGTATTAGTACGAATATTAACTTCAGTTCTTAATAGTTGGAAGTTACAGAAAAGCAAATACTTTATTAATTTATTATGTTTGTACATTGTGGCTTACTTTCAAACATCGATTTGAGTCTATTAACTTTGAATTAATATTTTTATCTTCAAGAAAGATCTATTTTCATAAATAATTATGTGTTTTCAGTAATTTAGTTGCTACTAATAAAGATGAAAGCCTAGCTTAAACTTACGAAACTAAAATATGTAGGGATTGGTAAGAACGGAACGTATGAAGAGAGTGGAACGGAGCGTTAAGTTGGGAGTGAGAGAAAACAGAAAGAAAGGGAAAAGAGAATGACAGAGAAAGAGGAAGATGGCGAAGACGTTTAAAAAAAGAGCAAAGCGTAACAAAAGTGTTAATTAAATTTAATTATTATTACAACGGAATATTTTGGAGCAGTGGAAGTTTTATTTTATGCGCTGCAATCCTTATTGTACAAATATTTAGAAAGTTATAGCATGACGTGATTCGCGTGTTTTTTTTTATATTCACAATAAAATAATAATTTTTCGCAAATTATTCTGTGAAAATCTCTATGCGTCTTTATAATTTCTATGTTTTTCATTAATGTCAATAACATAGTCCAATCTTGAACTATGTCAGTGTGGGCCAGACATAGGAAGTCTGCTTAACACGCCCGTGAAAAAATTTGAAGTTTCAGTTTTATGGGTTTGCTTTGGAATGGTATGGACATGACATGAGACGAAATGAAAATGAGGTTGGTAAGAGAGCGTTAACTATGAATGTGGAAGGATATAAAGGAAGAGGTAGACCTAAGAAGAAATGAATGGATTGCGTGAAAGACGATATGTGTAAGAGGGGAGTGAGCCAAGAAATAGTATATGATAGAGAAGTGTGGAAGAGGAAAACATTTGCGCCGACGCCAGGTGAGCGGGAAAAGGGTAGGAGAATGATGATAAATTTTATGGGTTTGTGTATAACTTTCTAGGAAAATGTCTCAAGATTAAAACTGTTGTTCTTAGATCGATTGAGAAATGATGTATAATAGATAAGGAAATCTTTGTTATCCTTTTGCACTTCAAAGATAAATTGTGACGTATAGAATACTAATTCTGACTTTTTTTCTCGATAAGCGATTACTCAGTTAAAAATAATGCTAAGCTGAGAGCTGCTTCAATAGAACTATTGAATTCAATAGACTTCGATTTAAAATATCTTGTGAACATTTCTAATCGTTCGATTTCAAGGTGCAGTTTCAAAATTCGCATCAGATAAATCTTTTATCAATAGGCTAAATCGAAAACGACGTCGATTCTTTGATTTGGCACAAATTAGGATATGGAACTGTGAATACGATACTAGAAGCTGACGATACTCAATCTATCGCTGAGCCAACAGTAACTTTTAATGTTAGCATCTAAACTATCTGTATCTAAGCAGTTTTGTAGACAAAGACCTAATATAACTTAACCCTTGTTTAAGACTGTTTTTGTGCTTTTCGTGTTTCACGTTTCATTGAAAAAGTCTTGTACTGAAATTTATAGTTTGCTTTATTTGAAATTTATAGTAGACGGAACGTTTGTATGTTATATGAATATATAAGTAGTTCAGATGCTAGGAATGATTTTTTGAGTTGAATTGTAAAAAGAACATTCACACGATACAATCCAAACGGTATTTTCACAGATATTCTTAATTTTCTTAGAGCTGAAAATGTATACTCTGAGCAGTAAATAATTATCTTTCGTTGTCTCAAACACAGCTATCACATAGTATGTGAAGACGTATTTTCTTCTCCTCCTTCAGAACTTATGCTTGTTCCTAAAGAAAATATATTGTTACGCGTAGGGATTCGGGATAAATAAATGTTCAACCAAAGTACAACTAAAAACTGTATTCAACACTTAAAACACTTCACAAATACTTTAAAATTCTCAATTCTCTTCTTCCGCTTCGCTTCAGGTGATCCGTTCGCTGTTTCACTTCGAGTACTCTATCTCTGCAACGCTTTTATAGTCGAGACGAAATCCCTAGAATCGTCGAGAATATTCCACAAAAGTCGAGTATTGTGTGTTTCCGCTATCTGACAATAGATGGCGTTGTACTTCTCGAGCATTCTAGATGCTACTAGATCCTTCGATATTCGTTCGACTATTCGGCGATAGATGGGGTTACTATTATCGGTGTAACAATATCAAAATTCATATAAAGCATTTTTTTGCGAAAATCTTGAGTTATTTTGCGTGTTTTACATATGAACTCATCCTAAATTCGTGATATCTAGAAGCAGTACCGTAAACATTCTGAAGTGTGATAAGGGTTCGATCAATTCGACCTGACATGATTCCTCGCTCCTTACTACCGAGTTGTTACTGTGAAAAGTATGACATGGAAATATAGACCGAGCGTTCGAGGATGTCATACGAATATTATCATTTGGATTACGGTTCTAGCAGAAAATATGGATTTGATTAGTAGAAACGTCCAAAAATATGAAGCTACTAGAAAATTAAGCCTTTCTTTTTGAACAAAAACGTTTGAAAAAGAAAAAACAAAGCACTTAGGTCTCAAACCGTATTACTCCTTCAAGTCTCCACACTATATTCACAATTTTATCTATTACAATTTATAAGATAGGACAATGTTCGAGTCTCGTATTGTCTGTATGAAATCTTTTACGAATTCGACAAAAATAAAAATAATGTTGAAAAATGTCAAGCATCTACTCTAAGACGCATTTTGAGCTTGTATAAGAATGTAACCATCGTCTTACCGTTCTACAACGTAACAATTAGGAGTTAGATAGTTAATTAATAAGTTAGTAATCATCACTTCATCTATTGGCACGTAAAAAAGAATTAAATCTGGCCAATAAATGTAGGATGGGTAAGAAAGGAATGTATCAAAAGAATGTACAACATAGTCTTAAGGTGTGAGTCAGACAAAATACTAAGAAAAAAGAGAGAAATACTAATTTGTAGACAGCGGCTTGGCTCTGCCCCTGACATTGCCGAAGTCCACGAGCGACGGTAACCACTCACCATCAGGTGGGCCGTATGCTCGTCTGCCTATAAGGGCAATAAAAAAAGAGAAATAATGAAATATATTTTTTTTTTATTGCTTAGATGGCTGGACGAGCTCACAGCCCACCTGGTGTTATGTGGTTAATGGAACCCATATATATCTACAACGTAAATGCGTCACCCACCTTGAGATAAGTTCTAAGGTCTCAGTAAAGTTACAACGGCGGCCCCACCCTTCAAACCAAAACACATTACTGCTTCACTGCAGAAACAGGCAGGGCGGTGGTACCTACCCGCGTGGACTCACAAGAGGTCCTACCACCAGTAAAAATAATAAAAGTAAATTAAGATGACTAGGACGATTAAGTGAGATAAATTTAAAATTCAGTCAGTAAACTTTTAGGTATTAGTAACAGGGAGGATTTGAGAAGAAAACAATCAAAACTACAATAGTGAATCAGTATTATTTTATACGCCAACCCCAGTTCCTCATGCATTTAATCAACATTTACATTTTCATTCATACGTTTGACTCCCGCCGAGCGGAATTCGGGAATAGCAAGGGAGTCCTTGCATAAATTTCACCTTTGACTCGCTCGGCTGGCGAGCTATAAGAAGCCTATCCAGACGGAACGTCATTCAGTAAGGGCCGCTAGGTCGGAGAGTAAATCGTATAGTTTTGCGGTTTCTCTTTTGAAACACGCAGTGAGAGCACATTGTCCCTTGTTATCGTCAAACCTGCATTGAAGTATTTCGAAATATTTAGGGAGGCAATAAGACAACCGTGATCTCCTAGAAGGATCCGTGCAAGGTCTTTTTTCGATAGAAATAAGAACATACCACCACCTGCCTATTTCTGCCGTGAAGCAGTAATGCGTTTCGGTTTGAAGGGTGGGGTAGCCGTTGTAACTATACTGAGACCTTAGAACTTATATCTCAAGGTGGGTGGCGCATTTACGTTGTAGATGTTTATGGGCTCCACTAACCACTTAACACCAGGTGGGCTGTGAGCTCGTTCACCCATTTATTTATTTGGGAATCAAACAGTACAATACAAAACATAAATATTTTAAAATCTCATCATTTTTTAAAATCATCTAAGCAATAAAAATAAAAAAAAGCGTACGGATTCACAATTTATCTCATCAATATACATAAATAATAAACGGTGTAGTTGAAAAAAAAACCCTTTCTGTAACATCCATAAAGGTCAAAAGCATTAAATTCCGTATTTCCGAATTTACGCTAAACGCAAAATTAGTCTAGAGTGGGAGTAAATGTTTTTTTTTTTTGATAAAAGATTCTCAGTTCAAACCTGCCCACTAATTAACATAATTCATATCGTTTCAACGCATTTTTTTTAATGACAAATAAAATGATAAAAATTAATTGAACTCCTTCGAACCTTGGCTCCCTAAACGTCGTAAAGTAATTACTATTAACATTAACTACTGGAAGCTAATCAAGTGAACGGTATACGACGAACGCCCTTGAACAAACAAACAAAAACACAAGTACTCATTTTTATATATAAAATGTCGTAATCATCGTATTTTAAAACAGGTGGCTCGTACCAAATGTCTGATTGTATTTTCCTTACAATTAACTATTTGTTTTTATGTGCTTTAGAAAAATCCATTGTTGTCTAATTATACAAATATGTACAGCAGAAGGCCGTATAATAGAATAGAAAAACTCTTTATTGAAACACCTCAAATAAATTACAAACAATAAAATTTTGAAATCACAATAATAAGCG